GGAGAGGTTAGGATGAAAAAATGCAAAACAAAAACTTTCCAAAAGTCAGCCACTAATTAAATGTTTGACATAAGTTGTATATTAAATTAAACTATAACTTATTTAACTAACATCAGATCAGTTGGCATGTTTGATTGTATGTTTAATTCCTGGAACTATTAAGACCCTTTTCCCCTGTTCATAAACCCACTAACATTGGCTTTTGTCTGAAATGCTAATGGTAAATTTATTATTCTCTCCCGGATCAAATCGAGCCATGATGAAAAGATGACACCTGGGTGAAGGAGCTAATTTTGCAAAAGGTCGAGGTGAGTTTTCGTTGCCTTCATGTTGCAATCGGAATGGAGTTGATCACTTTATTTAAGCGAATTTACAGGTGTTTAAAAAGCCCACGTATACTGGCTAATTTTGGTGTAAAAGAAGTATTAGTAATACAGTTTTCAGTAAAAAGATGTGTGAGCAAAATATGAGATTACTGCTGAAAACGTTCACAAAAATGCAATAAGTGCCAGCGTGTGGAAGAAATGGACTTTCCACCATAAAACAACCACAACCACATGTTCTTCTACCAGGGAACTTTCTCTGAAGCAGCTGCTTCATAGGCTGAATGGTCATTTAGTGGTTGTTGGTGTTGTCAGCATATTATAGAGGCTGTTTCTGAGAACACAAACTGGGTGTGCACTGGATGTTTTTTGTGCTATAATGCACAAACAGTCATCCTAGATTTTCTCATGGAGATATATTGTTACAACAAGCAGGATCTGGACAAAATCTGGGAGGGTTTGCTTCGAGTGTGCATCTTTCATCCACATCCTCCATTTTTTCAGTTTATTTATGATAGACAGTCAGGGCGGGACACCATCATTGCAAACACAGAGCTGCAGTGTGCACTGCCAAAGCCAGAGACAGCTCCAGGGAGGCTGAATCCAAGGTCTCGATAGTACGTCAAGCTCCTTCTCAGTCTAGTCCAGGATACCTCAGGGAGAGGAGCGCTGCTATCTGACCACACAAACATAAGCCTCTCGCAAGAAATGCACACGGCACTGTGCTGCTATTCTTATTTTAACCTGGTTGTATCACATCTTTGGTAGAGAAGAGGTAGGAGATTAAGTTCAAGTGCAACAGAAAGGAATGGTAACAATATTTAGCCCTACCTAAACCTGCCAAGTATATATTTTAACATAATTGTGACTTTTAAGGCCTAAATTTCAGATAATTTGAATCTATACTTTTTAAGACCCTGCAGAAACCCTAGTTGTATGAGGATCAGGAAGTTTCATTGGTCTTGTCTGTTGAAAACAAATATATGATCCTTAATGGGATCAGCTGCATCACTAACCAGATGGTAATGTATAGGTTAAAAGTAAGTGCTAAAGGCTATTGATAAATTATATTCTACAAACATTGATAAGAAAACGGAGAAGGTATTAAAATGAATGCAAAAAAAAATTCAGTTTCTTTAAATCATCCTTTGTCATGTTGTCATGTAAACAGCTTCATAACCACAAGGGCTTAAGCTAAACACTTCATAATAATAATAATAAACTTGCTCTTTCGGCTTGCACTTCTGAGATTGTGTGTAACAAAGCATAAATACAATTGTCCCAGTTTCACCTCTTCGCAGCCAGAGGTAATGTATTAGTAATAGCATGGACTTGGCTTAGAGAAGCTTAAGTTTCGCTGGTGCAACACTGGTCCTCCTGGGGACGCCGAGCAAGGTGCTGTGCATCCTACTTTTATCACTGCCCTTTCCATGGTTTTACACTTTTACTATAAGCAAGGTCTCACAGGAGAGAAAGGAAGGAAGGAGCTCACAGCCCTAGCAGAAGTTAAAAGCAGAATTTCAATCATGTATTGTATTCAGCAGGGATGTGCACAGACGTGCGCAGGGACGTGCACAGACGTTTTGAAAGGCAGGGGCTCAAGTGAGAAAATGGTCACTTCTCATAACTATTTATACGGAAAAATGTTCTAAAGCCAAAAGATAAATATAGTATCACATTTCTGACTAGTTTAACAATTTATTATAATGTTGAAGAAAGTTAAAACACTGCATTGCGTCTTAACCCTGATGTCCTGATTGTGCGCATCATGTCTCGTGTTGTGTAGCAGGTTAAACGTGTGACTCATACTCTGGAAGGAATCAAACAAAGACAAAGTAAACATCAGTCCTGTACGTGCCCTAATAACTTGTGATCAGTGATGGTGATCATTGTTAAAGTGTGAAGTGAGTGCAGGTCAGAGGAGGAGTGAGGAAGCAGACTCGGACAGACACTCTGACACAGGACGACCGGACCTTTAATGTGCGTCTGTCCTGAAGCAGCTGTGTTAAATTTATTCAGCGACATCACTAAAAACAACATGAATCAATTATGGTCTGTCTCTGTCTCATTGATACAGAGTCCACATCACGATGCTTCTAAGAATCAAGAAATGTCCACAGCTCTGTGCTCACCACTGTGCAAGAGACATGGAGGGAGGGAGGGTGGAGACTAAGTCTAATCTCCCAACTTGATATTTTGATTGGTTATCATACTGCTACTGAATTCATTAACCCATTAGATGACAAATAATTTACTATAATTGTCACATTGGCTCCACATCCTAATGGTAATGTGGCCTTTAAAATGTTAATGATAGAGTTTCTTACTAAATTAAAAGAAATAAATGACCACAGTGCTTGTGACTAAGCCTTTGTCTGCCAGGTGTTAAATGACTGATAAGATATAAACCTGAATTAACTTATTGTCATTATCTGGTCATTTAAATTAATTATTTGCCACTGTCAGTGACTGCCAAGTGCTTAAACCAGATGTCAAGCCAGAGTGATTGATGTAATCAGAGCTGCTACTCTCTCTGCCTAGTGCTATCACCTGACACATGATAATGCTGAATCCAATTCAATTATTGACAACTTGGATCAATGCTGTTTAAATACTAGGCCATGTATCTCAACTGTCAGTTGTAATTGTCAAGAGCAGGGGGGAAACATATGAGGAACTGTGCAACTGCACCAATGTGCAGGGTAACAAGCTTCTGCAAAAATGGTGGCAGATACAGCAGGTGCTCTAGAGAGAAGATGAGTAAACTGGATCGAGTTAGAGGCTCATTATATTCATGACTCTGTTGAAAACCTGTTTGCTCATTGTCTGAGGTTAAGTCCCAGGCTCACAATAAAGCAAATAATTCTGTCTCGGGTTACTCAAAGTCTAGAGTTTCTTCTTCTGACAGGCGGGGTAGAATGGCTGCATATTTTTACTTGTTAAAATATTTTTGTGCAAATGAGGAAATGCTATCTGGGTCACAGCGTAGAAGAGAAAGTTTGTGTGAGGCAAAGAAATGCTTTTTGGATTATTAAATTTTTTTCCTCAGCCAGGACATCTTGATGAGGTCAACAAATAATGAGAGAACTTATCTTGTGAAATCTCAATTTACAGAAAGTTTCCCAGTGGAGTGATTGTACCTCTTTGCACTACATAAACTCAAGTAGTAATATTGCCCTCTGTCTCAGGTGTCTTTATTGTAAATGTGGTTTGTTTATAGACAGGAGTTACTGAAATATGACTCTCTGTACACCATACCAGACCTATTGTTCTATTCAGATAAGCAGCAGGTATTTCTATACAGTTCTACACCAGCTATACCACTTGATATGACATGAACTCAGCAGCATTAATACTGCCCCGTGTTTTTGACATGTCTTATGTTAAGTGTATGCAGATGCATGTAGTCGCTCCTTGTTTAAATCTGACTTTTAGCTCCAAACTGCATTCACACGCTGTAGTTTCCATGTTTACAATAAACATACCATACAGAAATATGAATTCATAATAAAATCAATATAAAAACTTTAGAAGTAACTGAATTGGGAAAACTGCATAATATCACAGGAATGCCACAAGTGACTTTCTTCCTCCTTACACAAACACTTATTTGGGCTGTGTCCCCAATCACTCACTATAAAGTTAACTATATAAAGTCTACTATATTGTGAATAATATCATTTTCTATCTGATTGTTTTGTGTAAATTACATAAGGGACCCACTGTATCATACAATAATTGTGAAAAGCAGTGTATTTCGAATGGTCACTAACCGAGCCATCATGCATTGCTCTGGTGCTGCTCAAAAGAAAGTCAGGTGAGAGGAGAGAGTACTGAGGTGATGATAAAAAGTCTCAACAACAATGACTAGCGCAGAGAAAATTACCATGGAGGATGTTTCACCTGATCCGTGGAAGCATGTTAATGTTTTATTTAACCACTGAGGACTTTTTTCATATGCAAGGAGCCTGTTACATAAACTTGAGGAAATTGAGCTCACAGGTGTGATCGTAACAGAAATGCGAATGGAGGTGGGGTATGTTTGTTTAAAAGGAACAATCTATTATTCAATCCGTGAGCTGACCTCCAGGTAGATGGCTTGGAAAGGGCATGGATTGAACTTCAGTTTCCTAAAACTGAACCTATTATAGTTGTTGTTTACTACAAACCCCTACAGGAAACAGATTTTGATAAAAATTTAGAAAAGGCTTGTGTTAAAACTAATATATTATGTACGGTAGAAGGAATGTGAATCTACGAGAGTGTTGTTTAATAACCGGTCCATGCTGGCCTTAGGTGATCATACAGTCTAACAACATTTTCAAATCACAGATTAGGTGTGGTTCAGGTTCAGACATGCAAAACATTACACAATTGAGGGATTTGAAAATAAGCTTTTTGAGCAAAAATGGCAGAATGTTTTTTTTCATAAATGCAAATTTTTGTTTTTTTTTATTCTATGAAACGTCCTGACACTTCTGCTATGAAATGTCCTGTACCTATGAAACGTCTTGTATGACACTTCAGCCATATACACATTTCAAATGTCTTCTATTAAAACCTCAGATAGGAAATGTCCAAAATGAAACTTTAGCCATGGAACTTCCTGTGTAGTGTTCTCAGTACCTGTGTTAACATACAGGAAGCGTTGCCCCCTCGTTGCTAACCAACACTCACCGTCTCTTAGATACTGTTGCCGTCCTGAGCGCTCTCGGACGGCGCAAGCCCACTTCTCCGCCTCCTCCAGGTTAGCAGCGGGGTCCTGGAGCGCGGTGAGCCGGAAGCGGTGCTCCGCTCTCGCCCGCGACTCCCCGGAGCTCAGCCAGCGCCGCTTCAGCGGGTAGAAGTAAACTGACAGGTACGCGGCCGGGTCCCCGCCGCCCCCCTCCCGGTAAGCCCGGCAGCCGACGCAGTCCTTCAGGCTGAGCACCACCTTGTTCCGCCCGACAGGTGCCGACGGGAGCCTCTCAATGATGAGGTCCCTCTCGGTCAGGTTCACGGCACACCTGACTTTACGGGTACCGATGGCCGTGAATTCCCCGTAAAGCGTGAACGGGCTGCTCCCGGTGCCTGGGTCCGGTTCAGCGCTCCGCTGGTCCATCCTTAGCGGACTGGGGGAGACCGGGACGCGGACACACTGTCACATAGCTCCCCGCCTGGGGCAAAGTGGGAGTGGAGCGGACTGACACTGACAGTCTGCTGCTGGGACCGGTGTCAAGGTGGAGAAATCAACTGCGCCTTATCCGGCTGCATTTCAAAATAAAAGGCGTACAGGGTGAAACCGTAGTTAGACCTGTGGAATGCCTGGTTTTTTTCATCAAGATCCACCAATCATTCTCTGAGAGATCAACGAAAATCTCACAAGTTCTTTCTTGATTCCACCTGATTCTTTCCACAATGTTCAACTAATCCGTTCAGTGCATTTTGCTTAATCCTGTGAACTAATTGACAAACGAACAGACACATGTTAGGTTGATGATGAGTGGTGGGTTTCAGAATAAAACACTCTAAGTTTTAATTGTTTTATTAAACTAGAATAATTATGTAAGATATGAAATTCTTTATTAGAATAATAAACATCACCTGCCAGTTAGTTGTTTTTTTTGCTGCTGTATCCCAATCAAACCAAGTCATTTCTCCAGCGATGAATGCATAAGTGGATATTTTTAATATCTGGTACATGTTCCAAAACCCAATTTCAAGTAAATTAGTAGAAACTAGTTGATGTCCTGGTAATCAGCCTGTGATATGTGTTTGATTAATTCATGTGATGATTCTCTACAACATATACTTTAATCAGGACCATGTCATTTCAAAGCACATTTCTAAACTGTTATTTTTAGACATACTATAAATGTACTGTCATAATTAAACAATTCGCCAATTGACAAATTCATGCTTTTATTTTCAAGGTCGCCCAATTTCCAGAGTGACTGTTGGTGTCTCTTGGTGTCTTGACGCTTTTCCAATGGGACTGCAGATGATACTAAACTTCACTGTGGTTCTGCAGCTGCTCAGCCAAATGCTGCCTCCTTGTGGTAAAATGGTGAAAACAAAAAACGTACCTCACTATGTTAAAGATAGTGAAATAAAATCTTATATCAGCCTCTTTGTCAACCCCCAAATTGAACAGGTTCTTTCTTGGCCCATGTTACATCCTCCCACTGAGTTTCATTGAAATCTGTGAGGTAGTTTTTGCCTAACCTTGCTGATAAACAAACCAAATGGCCTGATGGACAGGAATGGTTTCCTTTTGCCGTGACATAACACAGTTATGGCTGTGTGCCCAATGTTACAACAGTTGATTCATGGATAGACTTTTTCAAAGGGGTTTATTTCACAGCAGATACTGTGACTGTCAGGAAAACACAGGTATCAATAAGTGCAGTAACAGTGGCTGTGTCCCAGGAAGCCATGACACTGTGACAATGACCTAGTTTTGCACACTATAACATTTTCTGTGAAATTAAACCTATGGGGATATTCTATTATTAATCAGCTGTTGTAATATGGTGTACCGAACCATGTCATGATAAAATAGTTGCCTACACTAAGTAGTTTATGTATTAGCCTCTGTCCATAGGTGTGTGATTTGTTTTGATTGTCAGCACAATTATACAAAAACTACTTCTACAGATTTCCACAAAACTTGAAGGAAGGATGAGACACAGGCCAAGAAAGAAGCCATTACGTTTTGATGTGGATCTGTTCAAACCAGAGATGACATATGGTGTTTTTTGACATTTTCACCAAAGGTTATAATTCATGGTTCTTGAGTAAAAAAATTAATTTAAGGGGACCAATGGGCCTTGGTGGAGGGATGCACTTTAATGAGAGCTTTAATAGTTTACAGTGAACTTTTTTTTACTTTGTATTGAAGATGAAGTTCACAATTCACTTTAATTCAATTCAAGTTTATTTGTATAGCGCCAAATGAAAATATACATTATCTCAAGGCACTTTACATAGAAGATCAAGACCTTAAAAATGAAAGCTAAACCCAACAGTTCCCACAATGAGCTGTTGTACAGAAATCCATCAGACAGGAAAACATCAGTGCTAAAATTAAAACACAAATGCATTTCCACCTACACTAATGTAGAACTATTACTTGCTGCTTTTATAATAATAATAATAATGAGGATGATTATTATTATCATATCGTATTATTGTATGTATTTCTTTACAGGACAATATAAACAAGTCAAAATCAAAATTACATCATTAATGACCTATTTTCAAAATATTCAGTTTGAACGTTAACATATTACATCAATATAGTCATCAATTACATTCACTTTAGAAATGAAATGAATGTCACAAGTAAGAAAGTCTTCTCTTCTACAGTACGGTTTGTCTGAGATGATTGTTGAATTTTAAATATAATATATTGTCAGAAACTACAGTAACAAATGATCTCAGATGATTAGAGAGCCTGCCAGTGTTTAATTAGGTTTCCCACAAGAATACAAACACACTTTGATTAGTGTGAACTGGGATGAGTGTGATAATGTGTTTAATTACGTTAGTGTCCTTCAATATGTCATTGAAAATCAGTACACACAGATTTCCACATTAGCATGCATGCAAGTGGAGAAAATGGCAAAATGAATAGAAATCATGATTTTGTCAAGCGATGATTTACAAAGATTCGCAGCCTAATTATGGTTCAAATGATTTCAGTTCAGCTTCATCCTCTCAGACGGGCGTGATGATAAGAGTGTGGTGGGCTCCAGGTGCACTGGATGAATGAAGCCACAATAACAATTATTACTGCAGCACACAGAAACATCCTCTCCACACAGATAATGCATTGCAACAGTGGTCACTATACTTGTCACACACACACACACACACACACACACAAAATCACAAAACCAACATAACAGTTGAAAAAAAAATTCTCGCCACAGGAGGAGGTGCTTTGGTCAACCAGCAGATGACGCTGTAGGATTCAAAAAGATGCCGTTTACACTCATCATGCCACAAAGCATCTGCTTTGAAACTCAGGATATGTTTTCAATAAGTCTAAACAAAGAGAAAGCAGTACAGCTAAACTTCCAATGAAGCTTTGCTACATCCATTGATATAGTTTTTATATGTGACATAAAAAGCAAACCTTTCAATGTGATGCCTGACACATTGTATGTTCAACAATATCACATGTTTTTGTTTGTATTGGGCACTTTGTCTGTAATTCTATTATTTCTATTCCTAGTCAAGGATTTGATTACTTTTCCAGGACTGGTACAATGTGCACTACAACCATATCTCTGTGTTTTATCATCAGAGCCACGATCAAATTCATTACTGGTACCATCATTTATCCTCATCACTGCAACAGCGATGTATCAGAGCCGAATATTGCTCAGGGGAAATAATAAGGAAGAAGTTTTCTGACTTCTCCTTGGTCAAATAAAAGTCATCTATGCATTCTTGTTCTCCTCCAGGCAGTAGCACACAATCCACAGAGAGGAGAAGGGGGGAGCAGGAGGAGGAGGTGAGCATATATGCAGATGGGAATTAGTGGTCCCAGTAAACACCTGGAGCCAGAGGAGAAACAAGATGATCTTATTCACATGCAAGTCTTGTGCGTCTAAAGTGCACTGGCATCCAAATCACACTAGGAGATCAGTTGGTAGGCATCACCTTTATTTCCTGCTTGGGCTGTGAATGCAGCTTTTCTCCAGGCCCCACTTCAAACATGAACATATTATGTAATTTGCTGCAATGGAAGGAAAACGCCTCTGAAAAACATGCATGTTTCTTCAGCGTGCCATCATTCTATACACTGTCGGCTTGGCGACAAAAGAGGCCTTTCATTTCAAACTGCAGGGTAGATGCTGATTACCTAAAAGCTATTGATTGGAAGTGGCACAGCTGAGGATTGGGAGCGGAGACATGAATGGCGACAGTAGACTCTCACTTCCACCGTTCTCCAGCTGTGAGCTCTATTGCTGCCTGGCCATGAAGGGGGGAAAGTGGGCCGTCCCCACATATGGTGTTTTTCATGGGGATTTAAGAGACATCGCTGTCACACCCCCGTATGTGCTTGAGCGTATAGTTTTGAGAGGTTTGATCTCAGAGGGGCAATGAAAGCAAGCCAGTTTTCACTGCATACTTTCTGCACACATGCCCCAGTTTGCACTAATTGCCGTCACTGGCATTCCTCACCACCTGGTTACATCTCCTGAACATGAAACTATTGACACAAGCTTAATAACTGATGAGCAGCCATTATCTGTTGTGAGGAAGACACACCGCAGATGTCAACTCAGTGCACTAACTACAGTCAGTACATTAAGCTCATATTTGCTTATATAGCATAGACACTGAACTTGCTGAACCCATTGCTATCCCACACCCTAGACAACCACACTCTGACAGATAACTTGAGTGGGAGGAAGGAATGTCATATACCTCAGCATTTAGTTAGCATTGGCATCACAACATGACAGATTCCCCATCTGGGTCGCTTAGCACTGATGGCTCGCAGAAAGGTTTCGCCTGTCTGCCTGGCTCTCCTTCAGTTGCCCCTTAATTCTGCTCTGTTTCTTCAGATGCCCACCCCCAGTGTCAAGGCTCTGCCATAATTATATAAGAGTTATGCAAACCTGTCTCTTGCTGGCAAACAATGAAACATTTCAAGATCTGAAACGAGAGGTCCAATGGTGATAAGCAGGACAAATATTTTGTTACATATTGTGTCATTTGTCATCTAAAACTAATAAAGTTGTCACTGCCAGGCTGCTTCATGGAGAATTATAGCATTTTGTGGAATTTCATGCACAAATCTTTAGAGCAACTTTGAAAACTGAAAGTGTGATTCTAAACAAGACTAAACCCGCAGAATCACAATGTGATAAACTAATGTTTACAAGTACGCATACTAACCTTCGCAGATTGGCACTAAATACCAATGGCTACATATGCAGACTCATTCACATCACAGAACGTTTTGCTCCTTTGTGAAGAACCTGAAGATTATAAAGGTTCTGAATTGGCATCTGCACCGCACCCAATATATTCATTCATTATTTGAGGCAAACATATTTTCTGTCCGTTGATAAACTCATTTAAGAAAGAAATGTTACATATGGGGGGGTGGGACTCTAAATCGACCGTATAGGTGTGAACGGTTGTTTGTCTCTGTCTGTTGCCCTGTGATACATCGGTGATCAGTCCAGGGTGTACCCCGTCTCTCGATGTTACATACAAAAGCTAATGATTATACGTTACATGGTTTGTTGGCGTTATTAAGTAGAAACTTCTCTCCTGCAACACAAGTAGCATTTTAATTCAATGCTCTCTTAGCTGCCACGCCCCTGCTGCCGCCACCATGGGACATCCAGAGGGCTGAGTCACTCGTTGCACAGAAGACATACGAAGAGGATGAGACAG